ATGTGGGTTGTCGTTGATGGGAACTCAGATCCTGTGCAAGGGTAGTTAAGTGTTCTTAACCACCGAGCCAACTCTGCAGCCCCCACAGTTCTCCTTTGGGGACTATGGCTGTGGAATGAAAGAGGGGATTCTCTAGGGAATCTGTTCAGGTTAGTGGACACCTAGAAATCATTCTGGGTCTCTCTGTCTCTGTCTCCCTGTCTGTCTCCCTCCCTCCCTCCCTCCCTCCCTCCCTCCCTCCCTCCCTCCCTCCCTCCCTCCCTCCCTCTCTCTCTCTCTCTCTCTCCTCTCTCTCTCTCTCTCTCTCTCTCTCTCTCTCTCTCTCTCTCTCTCTCTCTCTCTCTCTCTCTCTCTCTCACTCTCTTTCCCTCCTCTCTCTCAACCAATGACATTTGACAAAAAAAGGACCGACTCTTGGCGGCCTGCCTGAGAAAATGCACCTCATTTTCTCAGGACAGCTGCAAGGAGACCTGTTTGCCAGAAGAGGGCGCCCAAACACAGCACTTAGCTTCCCCTCCTAGTGAGCGGAGACTTTACCTACAGCACAGAGCTGTGGTCAGGACAGAGCCCGGTGATTTTTAAAAATTAATTAATTTTATATGTGCGCACGGGCTGGGAGACACGTTCCATAGCCCACATGTGGAGACCAGAGGTCAACTTGCAGGAGTCAATTCTCTCCTTCCACCACAGGGGGCCCAGGGATTGAAGCTTGGTGGGAGTGCCTTTACCCCTGAGCCATCTTGCCAGCCCCAGGAGATAGTAAAAACATCTTAAGTGACTAACTAAACCCAAACTTGTGGAAACAATTGGCAAACTAGCTTTCACCAAACGCGGGATCTAGATAAGGAGCCTTCCTCTTGTGATCAAAGTAATGTTTAAATGGTTTTCTTAGGGGCTGGAAAAATGGCTCAGAAGTTAAGAGTGCTGGCTGCTCTTCTGGAGGACCCGAGTTCGATTCCCAGGACTCACATGGAAGCCATTAACTGTCTATAACTCTAATTTCAGGGGATTTGACAACCTTCTTCTGGCCTCTAGGCAGTGATGCAGGGCCACCCCCGTGATAGGTAAATAGTCTGCCATTAATTTATATCTGAGTCCTCTGATGACCATCCCCACGTAAGGCTGGCCTTAAGGTCACTCAGTCCAGGCCAGCTGTCACCAGAGTAGCTGGGATGACAACCCTGCCTTACCACACAGTTTATGAGAGATTGTTTCTATCTGGCTAGAACTTCAGTGGTCCTCTGCCCCCTGAATACTGCCATGAAAGAAGTGAGCTAGCACACCTCACAAGTATCTTTATTTAATTATCATTATTACTTTATATGGAGGTGTGAGATGAGCTTATACCATGACACATCAAGTCTTGAATCCATTTTTATGAATTGGCATCTTCTTCACTGAGCTCTGCCTACAGCGATGTGAATGATCTAGCTATCTTTCTCATGTTCGGAAATGGCTTGAAATTATGTCTGCCCTAGCTTGGTGCCTAGGGCTTGTCAATCCAGCATTCACTTGAAAGGCTGAGGCAGGAGGATGGTGAGGTTAGCCCGGGCTATTCAGATAGGCAGGCTGAAGAAAGAGAGAGACTATGGACTGTGGAAGGAGATGGATGGCTCCTTCCTGGTTTATGGTGATGGCAAAGAGTCTTCCTGTTTGTGTTTGATGCATGATTGACTGTGAGGATTCTGTCTGCTTTTGGCTTCCTGCTAGGGTACATGCCCATTTCTCCTGAATTGCCTGAAGGATGAGGATGCATCTCACAGAAGAGCAAGTCTGCCTTTCCTTTTCCTCTGACTGGGACCCAGTGTCTGTGCTCTTACCTTAGTGTATGGAATGATGGACATGTTGCGGTTACTTCCTCTCTGATCCTAGCCTCTATGGTGCACGAGCAGGATAAAGGAGTGAACGTTTGGGATAGCCAAGAGAAGTTATGAGTCGAGAGTGGCCTGGAGAGCATTTTGAAGCACCATGAAGACTCACCACAAGATTTCAGTTCCCTTCCAGCTGTATTTCTTTACTGCAACCAAAATGCACTGTGCCTTCAATAACAGGGCCTTACCATCTGTTTGTGGTAAACAAGAGCAATATTGTGTGTGTGTGTGTGTGTGTGTGTGTGTGTGTGTGTCTGTATTTAGGACCTCCCTAGATGTAGTCTGAAATTTTTTGTCTAATACCCTAGCCCTTAGAACTCCTTAAACTGTGCTGTGGGCCACGTTAGCCCTTTGTGATATATGACCTACAATTATATGAGTATATAGAAATGGGCTGTGTGATATGTCTCGTAAGCAGTCAGGTTTTAATGGAAGTAAACAATGGGGACACGGTGGAATGTACCTATCATCCCAGAATCATAGGATGTGTGAGACCCCGTGTGATGGCTATTCTTGATTGTCAACTTGACTACATCTGGAATTAACTAAAAAGCCAAGCAACTGGGTACACGTGTGTTTTTTTAATTAAATTATTTGACGTGGGAAGACCCTTTGAGGGTCTTTGAGACAAGGAATGGGTAACTGTTTTCTGACCAGTCAAAATTCCTGGTGTTAGTGTTTTAGGATTGGATCTGGGTCAACAACAGTCACTTTCTGATTGACATTCCACTGAGAAGCTCAGCATTCAGTGGGTTGGGACAGAAGCCTAAAGTCCTTCAAGCTCACCCCTCCTTGCAATGGAAAATCTACACTTGATCAATAGTAAGGGAACTTGAAGCATGGGCATTTCCACAGTGAACCCATGCCTGAGCCACTGTTACCAAGCCTGGATCAGGGCAAGAAGGGAGCCTTGCTTTCCACCACACACACACATACAGGACCAAGGCACATTGTAACAGATCACCAGGGAGGGAGGTGTGCTGAATCACAGGCCTAAAAAGATATCTCTCCATGGGAACCCAGAGCTAGCCTCATGTTCTTGTCTACAACAGAACAGCTTTCCCACTTTTCTGACCTAGGAAGGAGAAGAAAGTAGTTTTGGTTCAAATGTCAGGCTTTCATATATACAAATATATATATATATATATATACACACAAATATATATATACAAATATATATACACAAATATATATATACACACGAATATATATATATATATATATATATATATATATATATATATATATATATATATATATTCGTGTGTATGTGTGTGCGTGTGTGTGCACAGATGCTGTGGAACAGGATCATTTCTAGATAATTGTACGACATTGGATTCTTTTATTTTTTACCACTTAACTGAAGAGCAGGCCTATAGAGCCTCTCAATGTCCTGCCAGATGTTCCAGATGTTGAGTCCCAGTGGTTTTTTGTTTGTTTGTTTTAAAGAAACATAAGATTTATTGTCTTGCATGTTTCTGTGGTGCTAGGTGTTGAACCCAGAGTCTTTTTTAAATTAAGAATTTTTTAAATTCATTTTACATACCAATCGAATATCCCCCTCTTCCCTCCTCCTGCCCCTCCAGCCTCCCCCTCCCAACCCTCCCCCCAGGGTTTCTCTGTGTAGCTCTGGCTGTCCTGGAACTTAGCCTATAGATCAGGCTAGCCTAAAACTCAGAGATCTGCCTGCCTTTGCCTCCCAAGTGCTGGGATTAATGGTGTGCACCACCACCACCTGGTAATGGCTAGGTCCTTGGATACTGGCCATGTCCATGCCCAAGATTCCCAGAGTATTCCCCTCTCGGATTTGGAGACGGGGTTTATCTGTATAACAGCCCTGGCTGTTCTAGAACTCACTCTGTAGACCAGTCTGGCCTCGAACTCACAGAGATCCACCTGGCTCTGTCTCCCGAGTGCTGGGATTAAAGGCGTGTGCCACCACCGCCCGGACCCCTTTCTCTCTCAAAGTACAAATCCCCATAAAAATCTGGTTTGTGTACCATTTTACTGGTCTCAACTGTTCCAATGGCCTTGTCAGCTGTGATAACCCCAGAAAAGCTGTGATATCTGCACATAGCAACCACAGCTTTAATAAACCACATCTACCTCTAGAGAAAGAATAAATTCCCTGTGATTGGCACTTGTTTTCTGTTGTCGCCTATGTTATCTGGAAATATATACTCTATCCTTTCCCTTGGGAGCTGTCACATTTTTTTCATAGATTGGAAATGCAGGAATTCAAAATTGAGTTTTCACTGTCCCATGCATCTTGTAAGACAGGATAAAAACTTGTCTTTCTGCTGGAGCTGCAGGTGCATTCCGTTTTCAGTAACACTTGGGCTGTGGCTTTGTCATTCCCATTGACCTCTTATCGCATAGTGTTCTCATCTCTGTATACGGATTCCATTTACACTAGATGATTAGTCACCCCATATCTCATCTCTAACCATCAAACAGGGTCACATTTTCTTAATCAGAGACAATGACTTGAACACATACCTTGAGACATGATTTAACTTGTAACAATATTGTTATAGTCATACTCTTTCCCCATTGCTGTGTTACAATACTCTGGCAAAACCAACTTAAGGGAGAAGGGGTTTGTTAAGCTCATAGTTCAAGGAACAGTCTGTCATGATGAGGCTCAAAGCATCTGGTCCCATTGCATCCACACCAGAAAGCAGAGTAATGGATGGGTGCATGCTCAACTTCCTTTCTTATATAGTTCAAACTCCCTTGGCCATAGGATAGTTCTGCCCAGTTTTAAGTTAGGTCTCACTATAATGAATGATGCTCTAGACACTGAGCTATGTTTTGCCACATCTATCTATCTGTCTATCTATCTATCTATCTATCTATCTATCTATCTATCTATCTATCTTATGTATACTGGAGATTTTGCCTGAGGATACAAAATGCAAAAGCATGTACCCTATTACTGAGGGAGGTACACTCATACCTCCTGTCACACTTGTTGTGTACGTATTATCTGTTCAGTAATGTTGGGTTCCCTCAAGGCATATACGGGATGGTATATATAGTGTCCATTGTTCAGCACCATGCTTGGCTCTGTCTACTGGGATACTGTGTCAATTACCAGCCTCCAATATGACAAGAAAGTCCAGTATGTGTGGAATAACAGAGCATCATTCATGTTTATTAGAACACTTTTCTGTAATTTAAATTGTGACTCATAATCCACGATTAACAAATCTATTTGAAAACTAACATCAAGTTGTATGAATTGATACTTTCTTCCACAGATTTCTGATGCATGGAGCATCTGTTTATGCACCAACTCCTTTATTTATTTATTTATTTATTTATTTATTTATGCCAAGTAAAGTGTTAGTAATCCAAACACATCTGAGGCTGGGCGGGAGGATCAAGACTTTGAGATTATCCAGGGTTATATTATGAGTTTGAAGACAGCCTTGACTATATTTCAAGCCCTCAGCTAAAATATCAAACACATAAAACAAAGCAAGCAAACAAAAAACTTGGCTAGGGAGATGACTCTGTAAGTAAAGTACTTGCCATGAGGACCTGAGTTTGAATCTCCAGAACCCATGGAAAGCTGGATGCAGTGGCAGACATCTGTACTCTCAGTACTCCCATGGTGAGATTGGAGGTGGAGACAGGAGAGTCTCAGAAGCTTGCATCCTGGCTAGTCTGGCACACGTAGACCCTGGCTCAAAGTGGAAGGCAAAGTCTAACACCCAGGGTTGTACTCTGACTTTCAGACATATGCCGTGGCACATGCATGCCCATGTTCACACACAAGCAGTACACACACTGCACACACACATACAAAAATAAATGAATTAAAAATAAAAATCGTTAAGATTTATTTTACTGAATGCAACCAAAGAAAGCATTATCAATGGACTGCAATTAATTTGAGCATATTTGACAACACAGGCTACTTGTATGAATTTGAAAGGATGGGTAACACATGACACAGACTCTGACAGTGAACCACATGCCAGCCTTTTTCAACCGTTGACATTCAGATGGCCTCTGCAATGCCTGTAGATGTGTGACTTTGAGGAACTTCACAATCTCGACATATGGAGGCTTCTAGCATGGACCTCTGATGCACAGATGAGTGAGGTACAGCAGCAAAGTCCCTAAGCTCTTCCTGAATGTCTGTCTTCATGGTGTTCTGATGCCAGCCAAACTTCAAATCCCACTAAAAGTTTTTAAGAGTACTTTCAGATGGTTCCAAACTGGTGTGTTTCCAGTGTCCTATATGGAGAGGATCCAATATAGTTTGACTGGACTTTCTTTATTAAAAACATTTTTATTACAAGCCAGGCGTGGTGGGACACACCTTTTATCCCAGTACTTTGGAGGAAGAGGCAGATGGATCTCTGAGTTTGAAGCCAGCCTGGTTTACACAGAGAGACCTAGTCTTAAAAAAAGAACAGGGTGTATTACTCTGTTGTCCAGGCTAGCCTTGTCTCAGTACAAGTGAAATGTAAGCATCAGTGCTCAGAGAAGCTGAGGGGAAAAGCAAGTGCTCCTTGAAACATCTCCTGATTATTCATACTCACGGGATTCCTTACTTGCCAAGGGCTCTCTAAGCTTCCCTAGACTAGCATGTTTTCTCACCTGTGTGATTTTCTGGTAGGCAGTGAGGTCTGACTTGCTGACATTTTTTCCCATGTTGTTTGAACTTAAATGGCATCACAGTTATGAGTTCTCAGGCAGTAAGTGATTTTTTTTATGATGGAAAGCTTTTCTGCATTGTTTACATTGACAGCATTTATGCCTGAATACGCCATCTCTTGTTGTGTTGAGCTTTACATCGTGTATATTCGTAGGGTTTATCACTAAATGAATTCACTGACTTATAGAGAGGTGTAACTTAAACATAGATCCCTGCATTTCCTATGGCTTCCCAACTGCTTATGTATTCTGACATATAGTGAGGCATAACTCCCGTATAAAACTTTCTCATACTTTGACATTTATAGGGTTTATTACTGGCATGAGTTTTTTGATGTTGGCTGAGGAGTAACAGCAGGACATTTCCCTACATGCATGGGGCTTCTCATCTGTATAAGTCCTCTGTTGAGTCTGACTAGTTGAAGGAAGTTCTTTATCATTTGCATCCCTACAGTTTCTCACCTCTATGTGTCTTCTGATGGCGTGTGAGGTATGACTTACGTGAGAAAGCTTTCCCACATTTCTTACATTCAAACGGCTTTTCAGGTTTATGAATTACCTGGTGTCGAGTGAGGTATGCCTTAAGATAGAAAGTTTTCCTGCACTCTTTACATTCATAGGGTTTCTCACCGGTATGAGTTGTCTCATGTTGCATCACTTGTGATTTACGAGAAAAGGTTTTCCCACATTCTTTGCATTCATAGGGCCTCTCACCTGTGTGGGTTTTCTGATGTTGAGTGAGGTGTGACTTACGGGCAAAAGCATTTCCACATTCTTTACACTTGTGTGGCTTCTCCCCTGTATGGATTTTCTGATGTTGAGTGAGGTGTGAATTACGGAAGAAAGCTTTCTGGCATTCTTTACACTCATAGGGCTTCTCACCTGAATGAGTTCTCTGATGCTGAGTGAGCTGTGACTTCAGGTAGAAAGCTTTCTTACATTCTTTACATTCATAGGGTTTTTCAGGTGCATGGATTCCCTGGTGCCGGGTAAGGTGTGACTTGTGACAGAAAGCTTTTCTGCATTCTTTACATTTATGGGGCTTCTCCCCTGTATGAGTTCTCTGATGGCGAGTGAGTTGTGACTTGTGGGAGAAAGTTTTCATGCAATCATTACATCCATAAGGCTTCTCAAGAGTAGGAGTGTGATGTTGAGTGAGGCTTGATATATAGAAGTAAATTTTCATTAATTCTTTGCATTCATTTTGCTGTTCATCTGTGTGAGCACTCTGATATTGAGACAGTAAGGAATTGTGGTAGAAAGCCTGACTGTATTCTCTACACTCACAGGATTTATCATCTGTATAAAGTCTCTGATGTTGGGTGAGGGTCGACTTATCATAGATAGCTTTCCTATATTCTTCACACTCACAGGGTTTCTCACAGGTGTGTGCTCTCTGATGGTCAATGTGCTGTGACTCGTGGTAAAAGGTTTTCCCAGATACTTTACATTCATAAATTTGTTTCTCTATGTGCATTTTCTGATCAACTGTTTGTAGTTCAGCATCCAGACAGAAGAATTTGACATTTTCCTTGCATCCTTGGGGTTCTTTCCCTGCATGTGCTTCCTGATGTTTTGTAAGGTGTGATTTGTTAAGGATGGGTTTCTCATAATCACATTTATAATCTTTCTCTTCCATGTGCATGTTGTCATGGTTGCCGAGTTCAATCCTACTAGGGAACATTTTATGATATGTATTCCATCCCAAAGCTTGCTTTCTTAACTGAGTCATATATTGGGCAGGAAGAGCTACCTCATCCAAGGATTTCTCACTGAACTTCCGAGAGGTTTCCTGAACATGAAACTTCTTAGGTGTTAATGTTGTGTTCATGTGGAAGGCTTCATCTGGCCCAAAATACTGAAAATGACCCTCTGAACACTGATTCTTGCTATGGTGAGTAAAATGGTCAGGATATGAGAGAACTTCCCGAATTCCATTCAAATCATGAGTTACTTCTGTTACCTGCCTCTCATCAGGATCACTAGGCAAAGGTACATCTTGCCATGGATTAACAAGCTCCTGATAGAACATTCTAGAGTAGACTTCATTCTTCATGTTCATATTTGAAATACAGTTTGAGTCCACATTGAATATTTTTTCTACTTCAACCATATCTTCAATTGATGTATTTCTCTTGGTGATTTCAAGTTGGCCTAAATACTTCTCTTGAGCTTGCTCTCTTGTTTCAGCCAGGGCACTCCATTTATGAACGTCTAAAATGGTATTAAAAATGATCATTTAATAAGTGAAATACGGTCTTAAGAGGCAATATTAAAAACTTGCATTTGACATTCACAGCTATTTATAGAAATTTGACTATCAATCTTAGAAATTACATAATGTCACTTTTAATAAAAACATATCTGAGGGTGCATAAACTCTCTTATATATCTTGATTATGATAGTGATGCTTATGTGACTATACAATAAACTGGAAGAGTGAAATTTGCTATATGTTAAAATAAAAATTGAGAGGTAGGCTGCATACCATCATACCCCATAGGTCATCAGGCTCCTCTGAAATCCTGCTTCTTTGTTCCTCCAGGAAGGCCTTGCTCTTTATCACCCCATAGGACACATGACTTCTCCAAGATCTCACTTCCTTGTACTGCCAGGCAACAGACTTTATGTCTTATTCTTTCAGAATCCCACTCCCCTGTGATGGATGCTAGACTACCCCTCCTCTATGGGATACTACACCCCCATGTTCTCAGTAGGTCCTCTATTTCCACAAGATTCCAGGCTCCTCTAGGATCTCATTTCCCAGTGTTCCTAGGTAGAACCACTCTCTTCATCCTATAGGTCTCCTGACATCACAGCTAGCTTTCCTAGGATCTTGTGCCCCAACTCCACCAGTTGACCAGAGCTTAACATAGGGTATCCAGGCATGGAGAGACATCAGAAGGCTGTGGAAGAGAGGGCCAGCAAGAGGTATGCTGATCACTAGATGACTGTTGGCATAGATAGTAAAGGACTCTCAAAAGACTACTAATGACAGAATGTGCAGCCCTCAATACTAACTCCACAGGGGAAATAAAGTCCCAACCCTCTTACAAATTAGTCATCTCCTGAACAGTGCACACAACTGCACTGAAAAAGAAAGGGATTTGAACAAAAAGAGAGACTCAATAAACACATTACTTCAGATGCACATCCCAGCATAGAAACAAAAACAACTTGAAAATCATGACAACTTGCTTTCCCCCAATTACTAAGCCCATAGTCATGATCCCAGTGGAATGACCTGGAAAAATTCCAAGACAACGAATTCAAAGGAATGATTGTAACTATGTTCAAACAACTCAAAGAAGGTATGAACATATTGCAAGAGAACAAAACTACAGCTGAATGAAATAAGGAAGTCAATCTAAGACATGAAACTAGAATTCAATAAAGAGACAGAATTGCTGAAGAAAATCCAAACGGCATCAAATGCTAGAAATTAAAACTCAATAAGCCAAATAAAAACTTTGATGGAAAGCCTCATCAACTGACTGGATCATATGGAAAACAGTGTGAGGGCTAGAAGACACAGGAGAGGAATTGGATTACCTAATAAAAGTCAATGATAAGTTTTAAAAAATGAACAGAACATGCAACACCATAAGACACCTAACTTTTGAATTATTGGGCATAAAAAGAAGAATACCATACCAAAGGCATAAATAAAAAATAATAAAAGAATTGCCCCAAAATCTAGAGAAAGATACACTTATCCAGGCACAAGATGCCTACAGAACACCAAATAAACAGGGTCAGAAAAGAAACTCCCCACAACATACCATAGTTAAAACACTAAAAGCACAGAGTAAAGAGAGGGCATGGAAGCTACAGGGGAGAAAGGTCAACTTACTCATAAATGCAGGCCAACAGAATAACAGTAGATTTGCCACAGAAACTTTTAAAGGAAGAGTGCCTGGAAAGATGTATTCCAAGCTCTGAATCATCAACTGCCAAGCCAAAGAAAAAAGATTAAAGAACTTATGACCAATAAGCTAGCTCTACAGAGGACACTGGAAGGAATGGGGGGATAGCAGAACACAGGCAACATGAAATAAGTGTGTGTGTGTGTGTGTGTGTGTGTGTGTGTGTGTGTGTGTGTGTGTGTCTGTCTGTCTGTCTGTCTGTCTGTCTGCCTGCCTGTCTGTCTGTCTATCTTGGAGAGGATTAAGTGAATAGAGGGATTAGGGAGAAGAGAGAGCATGGAGTGGATTTGCCAAAACTAAGGATGTTGATAAGGCTTATGGAAATCTACTAGTTTGTAAAGTAATTTAACACACACATACACACACACACACACACACACACACACACACACACACACACACACACCCAGGAGTTTGAACAGAAGTACCCTTTATGGGTGTACAATGCAGAAGTCATGAATTATCATATGAAAATTTCAGTGCAAGGTAAAGGATTCCTCCGTATGAGTTACTGGTCCCTGAGACCCCAGAGGTACCCAAAACAACACAGGCTATTGACTTTTTTCTTGGCTGCCCACTATTAACCAGATGGTTACTAAAGACACCACTCACTGTGGATGCAGACATATTGAAGCTAACCTCAGCTGAGTAGGAAGCTTGGTCTTTGCTGTGGGGCTTACAGAGTGCCAGAAATTGCTATTCAGGCTGCTGGGGGTGCAAAGGCATCCGAGGTCTTACTCTGTGCTAGACCCTGCATGACTCCTACTGATCTGCCTGGTAAGATGTGCCCGTAGGTATAACAGTGGTAGTGATGGGTAAGGGGATAACCAACCACTTTTTTTTTTGCCTAGATAGGGGGCTTGCATCACAGGAAGTATTTCATGCCTGGTATTACAAACCTGGTCAAAAGTCCATAAATGTTAGTATGTCTTTTTAAAATTTTTTTAAAGATCAAAACAGTAGCGAAAATACGATCAAGAGAAGTTCGGAATCAGGGGGATTCCCTGCCAAATTCTCCCAAACCTTCAAAGAAGAGCTGGCAAGAATGCCTTCCTTGTACTGTTCTGTAAGGAGAGAAACATCACACCCAACTCATCCTAAGACACCGACCTGATACCCAAACTTGGGAAGGATACAAGAAAATGACAGGACTATCTTCCTGATGATCGCCAATGCAAACATCCACAGTAAGATTCTTTTTTTTTTTTTTAAAGTTTATTTATTTATTTATTTATTTTTATTTTTTAATTATGTATACAGTGTTCTGCCTGCATATATCCTTTCAGGCCAGAAGAGGGAGCTAGATCTCATTACAGATGGCTGTGAGCCACCATGTGGTTGCTGGGAATTGAACTCAGGACCTCTGGAAGAATAATCAGTGCTCTTAACCTCTGAGCCATCTCTCCAGCCCCACAGTAAGATTTTTGCAAATCCAATTCCAGAGCACATTAGGGAGATCACACACAAACTGAACAGCACCCACTAAACCAACCAGATACAGACATGAAAAATAAGGACAATTGCCAGCCTCGCCAATGCCACGGGAGGGACAGGCAATAAACAGTGGTGAATAGACTGTGAGGTTAAAAACAAAAATCAAATGAATAATAAAAGGACAAGCTAAAGGAAGGAGGGAAAGAAAGGGATAAAAGAGAGAACTGGGGTTAAATAAAAGACAGAAAAAGGCCAGGCATGGTGGTACACACCTTTAATGTCAGCCCTCAGGAGGTAGAGGCAGGCAGATCTCTGTGAGTTCAATATAGCGAGTCCAGAACAGTTGCAGCTACATAATAAAGAGACTTTGTCTCAAAAATAAAACAAAATCTAGGCCCCCCAAAAAAGTGTGAGGAAGAAGAGAGCACATAATGCAAAAAGCATTTGGTTACAAAGTAAGAAAAAAAACACATAAAAGTAGAGACGGTACAAGGAGGGCTAAAATAAATAAAATAAAACTTAAAAAATGAAAGTGAACCATCAAAAAGAAAACAAGGCCGGGCGGTGGTGGTGCACGCCTGTAATCCCAGCACTCGGGAGGCAGAGGCAGGTGGATCTCTGTGAGTTCGAGGCCAGCCTGGTCTACAGAGCTAGTCCAGGACAGGCTCCAAAGCTACAGAGAGAGACCCTGTGTCGAAAAACCAAAAAAAAAAAAAAAAAAAAAAAAAAAAGAAAAGAAAAGAAAACAAGCCAGAAAAGGAACTGGTGAAGCTTTTAATCTGTTCTAACATTGCCTCCAGCAGCGAGGAGTGGAGACTGAGGTTGTGCTTGGAGTCTTTATCACATTATCAATCTGTGCTGGGTGCTGGCAGAGGGTTAGGCCCATCAAGGCTATGTTGTGACAGGCTGTATTTCATTTAGAATCTTTCCTGTTTGCAGAAAAGAGCCACTGTTGACCTCAGTGAACTTGGTGGTATGTGTGCCAGGCAGGATCCTGCTTGCTCCAGAGACTAGTTTGTGCATGGAGGGAAGGTGATGTCTACTTGAGTCTGATTGAGGTTTTAGACTTCAGAAGCAATCTGCTGACTGCAGGCTGAGTCCTGCTATTCTCTGCAGAAACCCAGAAGTGATCAGGGCTCTGTCTTAGGGTTTCTATTGCTGCAGCAAAACACCACGACCCAAAAGCAAGTTGGAGAAGAAAGGGTTTACTTGACTTATACTTCCACAGCATTGTTCATCACTGAAGGAAGTCAGGACAGGAACCCACACAGAACAGGAACCTAGAGGCCGGAGCTGATGTAGAGGCCATGAAGGGGTGCTGCTTACTGGCTTGCTCCTCATAGCTTGCTTTGGTTGCTTTCTTATAGAACCTAGGACCAACAGCCCAGGGATGGCACTATCCACAGTAGGCTGGGCCCTCCCTCACTGATCTGTAACCTTAAAACTTTCTGTAGGCCACTTTTACATTTGTTTATCTAGACTAACCAAGATTGCTGGTTTTGGTTGCTGGGATGAAACATCATCAACAAAAGCAACTCGGGGAGGAAAGGGTTTATCTGTCTTAAACATATTGCTCACACTCCATCAATGATGGAAGTCAGGGCAGGAAATCAAGGCAGGAACCTAGAGGCAGGAACTGAAGCACAGACCATGGAGGAACACTGCTTACTGGCTTGCTCTCGATGGCTTGCTCAACCTGCTTTATTATAGCATGCAGAACCAGCTGCCCGGGGGTGGGGGTGGCAGCCCACACAGTAGGCTGAGCTCTCCTCCCATCAATCACCAACGAAGAAAATGACCCACAGGATTGCCTAGGGGCCAATCTGAAGGAAGCATTTTCTCTCTTCCCAGATGACACTGGCCTATGCTGATGACTGCTGTGGGATGGTCTGTATGTCAAGTGTGTTTCTCTGATTAGTCATTAAATAAAACACTGATTGGCCATTGGCTAGGCAGGAAGTGTAGGCGGGACAAGGAGGAGAATAAAGCTGGGAAGTGGAAGGCTGAGTCAGAGAGACACTGCCAGCTGCCACGATGACAAACAGCATGTGAAGATGCCGGTAAGCCACGAGCCATGTGGCAAGGTATAGATTAATGGAAATGGATTAATTTAAGCTGTAAGAACAGTTAGCAAGAAGCCTGCCACGGCCATACAGTTTGTAACCAGTATAAGTCTCTGTGTTTACTTGGTGGGACTGGCAGGTGAGAGAGATTTGTCCTGACTGTGGGCCAGGCAGGAAAACTCTAGCTACAGATGACAATGAATTAATGTACACCATCATGATCCAGTGTTTCTTTTGTAAGTAAGTAATTCACTAGATATTAGTTCACTTGATGCTTTTCCTAAAATAGAACCCCATGCTTTTTCCTCTCCTCTGGCTCAACAACCTTTGTGCCTCTTCTCTCTCTCTTTGTTTCACTTTTCCTTCTCAAGATACATTTGTATGATGACTATTGCCACCTAAACAATTACAAAGACAACAACCCTTAAGCTAATCAAAGCTCAAGAACTGAAAAAAAAACCCAACATGTCAACAAATGCCTAATAGAAATCAGTCTATGGAAAGGAGGAAAGGACAAGTGAGGGGTGGGGGTGGGCATAGAGCTCAGTTGCTAGAGTGTTTTCCTAGAACACACAAATCCCTGGGCTTGATCCTTAGCATTGAAAAAAAAAAGAAATAGAAAAATAGGGAAAGTATTTAACCAAAAAAATGGGTGAGAAGTCCCACATAGTGGTAGTGGATTTGGGCAAATATAAGGATACTTCAATAACAGCAACAACCAAACCAAACCAAACCAAACCAAACCAAACCAAACCAAACCAAACCAAACTAAACCAAACCAGGGAAAATGGTTTGACACAGAGTCCCTGATTTGGAAAGTATATAAAGTAAGTGTCAGGTTCAAGAGCCCACTCCCTTCAGGTCTGGCTTTGATAAGAATTGGCTGGCTTTGATAAAAGTTGGTGAAAACATCTCAAAGGGACCAATAGCCGAGTTGCTCATTTTTTGCTGTCTCTTATCCAAATAGCATTGACTCACCTGGCAGGCACTGTTCTGTGGTTTCTGCACCATTCCATGGCACCAATCCTTCTTCCAACTTGGAAATCAACTCAGGTTTGGCTAAACAGTGCCCTGTAAATGGGAAATAATAAAAGATTTGTGCCAAGTCAGGTTTATGGAGAAAAGACAACGGTCCCATTTCAGGGTCTTTGTCACAGTGGCTGAACTAGAACTTGTGTTAGAGAGGGTTTACACCATAGTCTTCACTCACTGGAATAGCACCCTTATGGGGAATTCAATTGTATGACAGACACATAACCCAATGTGATGATGTAAGAAAACTCGGAGGAAACACAAGAAGTGAAGAAAAACAGAGACATTGGAACTATAACTCAAGATCTTTAAGAGAAATGGAGAAAGTAGAGAGTGATCACAAAAAAGAACCAGCCAGAAGTTTTGGAAGCAAAGGCCTCAATTCATGAAATAATAAAAGAAAGCTGATGGATGAAATCACAGATCTCACCAGGCAGGAGAACAAATTCCAGGGAATTTAAAAATAACCCAGGCAGGTTTTCAAACCTGAAAGAAATACAAAGGATGACAAAGCTGTTGATGGACATGCACTGCTGTGGAGAAAGCAAGCATTTCATCATGGTGTTCCAAAAGGAAAAGGGACATCAACACACAGATCGAACGGAAGGACTTTATGCCATGAGAGGATGTTTATGTCCAGATATAAGATGCTTAAGAACCCCTACCAGACTGGACCAAGAATAATTTTGAGTCATACTAGAGTCAAACTGACAAAACTCCATGGCAAAGAATATTCTAAAATATACTGGAGAAAAGTCTATAGTTACTTATAAAACAAAGGCCATTAGAGGAATATGGTGGTTTGAATGAGAATGGCCCTTATAGGCTCATATATTTGAATACTTGGTTCCCAGCTGGGGAAACTTTTTGGGAAAGATTAGGAGGTGTGGCCTTGTTGGAGGAGGTGTGTCACTAGGGGTGGGCTTTGAAGTTTCTAAAGCCCACACAAGGCCCAGTTTCTCTGCCTCCCTCCCTCCCTCCCTCCCTCTCTCTCTCTCTCTCTTTCTCTCTCTCTCTCGTGGATAAGATGCAAGCTCTCAGCTACTGTTCCATCAGGCCTGCTTGTCTGCTGCTATGCTCCCTGCCATTATAATCAGAACCCCTGGAAACTATAAGTAAGCACACCCCAAATTAAGACTTTGTTTTTATAAGTTGCCTTGATCATGGAGTCTCTTCATAGCAATAGAAAAACAACTAAGCAAAGTCTCAACCACTGTAGCTGTAACGATTTTAAAGCTGGCATGGACACAGCAAACCAACTACACACCAATAGACTTCAATTCTCAGCAAGACAGAAAATCAAGTGGAATGGAATATAAAAAGATAATAAACAGTGACTCTAATTTTTTGGATTTATTTATCTTGTTTTATGAGTTGTTTGCCTGAATGTATATCTGTGTATCATGTGCATGTCTGATGCCCTTGGAGGTGAGAAGAGGGCATTAGATCCCTTGGAACTGAAGTTATGGATGGTTGTGAGCCACTGTGTATGTGCTGGAAATTGAACCTTGGTCCTCTGCAAGAGCAACAAGTGCTTTTTAACCACTTAGCCATTCCTTCCAAATGCTAAACTGTGATTCTCTGTAATTTGTTCCAGGGTATAACTTTCATGTTATGAAAACTCACAAGTGTAAACCACCTTACCAACAGAATGAAGAATATAAAGCCACATGAACATCACTATCCATGCATAAAAAGGACTCGAGAAAATTCAACATCCTAGCTTCATGAAACTCCATAATTAGAGACAGAAGGACTATACTTCAGTGCTATGGGAGTTATATACAACAGACCCATAGTCCACAGGTTAATGAATGACGAAAACCAGAAATTATTTCCTCTAAGCTCTCAAACAAGACAAGGATGCACTATTTTTTTTTAAGATTGATTGATTGATTGATTATGTATACAGTGTTCTGTCTGGATGTATGCTTGCGGCCAGAAGAGGGCACCAGATCTCATTACAACAGTAGAGTAAGGGAAAGAAATAAAAGGAATTAAAACATGAAAGGGCAATATCAAAAATGTCCTTTTTTGTAGGTTACATGATTTTTATATAGAAGACAAACAAATAAACAAGCACAATACATAACTAAAAATAACAATAGTTGGATTAGTTGAATCGGTTCCCTGGGAGTATGGAACACAAAGTAAAAACACGCAGATCTGAAGTTACATGCTTATTAATAACGGAATTGCTGAGAAGTAAATTCAGAATTCAATTCAATCCCCAATAGCTATAAAATATTTTTATTGTTTATGTTTATTTTATTATTTATGTTTGTGTATGCTGTGTATGTGGGTGATGGTGGAGGCCAGAGGAGGAGTTGGATCCCTGCCCTCAGGGAGAGTTACAGGCAGTTGTGAAACACCTGATGTGGGTGCTGGAAATTGACCTCTGGAAGAACAGCAGGTGCTCTTAACTACTGAGCCATCTCTCCAGCCATTACAAATTATTTTTAAAAATTAAAATAATTTAAAAATTCAATAACCAGGATACACATTGAAACTCTAAAACAGAGAAAAAATGTTTAAGAAGACACACTGACAAACTGACACACGCACAGACACAAAAATATCCTATGTTCGTGGTCTAAAAGTAAATTGCTAACATTTCCAACTGACCAACATGATTTACAGATTTAATGAAATTCCCATTTCAGTACCAATCATATTCTCCACAAAACTGGAAAAATACTGTCCTAAACATCTTAAGATCTAAAACTGTGAAAGCAACTTTAAACAAAAAGAACAACCCTAGAGTCATTATAATACATGTCTTCAAAACACACCCCAAAGATACAGTAACTCAAATGGTGTGGACTCAGCATCAAAAGAGACATACACCAGTGGAACAGAGGGGAGAACCCAGATCCAGCTCTGTATATGCAGTGTTATACTTTGAATGCTACACTTTGAATCCAAAACATGTTAAAGATCATGGGACATCATCAGCTGCTGGGAGATGAGACCTAATGTAAATGGGGTCATAAGGACAAATTTGAAGGGGATATTGGGCAACAGTTTCTCCTCCTTTGCTTCCTGGCTTCAATGAGGTGATCAGCTTTGTTCTAACACATGTGCTCTGCCATGATGTCACCACAGAACAAGAGTGACAGGGCCAACTGATCATCGACTGAAACCTCTGAAAAACGTAATCCACAAGAATTCTTCTTTCAAGATGCTTGTGTCAAGCATCTTTTTTGTTTTTCCCAGTGACAGAATTCTGACTAACACATTCAGCCAACTGATTTTCAACACAGCTTTCATGCACTTGCACCCAGGAATACTCAGTAATAAATCATACTAACTGAGAAAAGGAATTAAATTCTCATTTCTCGCCATAGATGGAAATCACCTGAAAACACTCAAAGAAGGGGATGTAGGACCTGAAGCTACGAACTCATACTATCTATGTGCAATTCTTCAGCACAATGACCTAGGCAAAAAGTCTTCTTGACATAATGCCAAAAAACAAATCAATAAAAGCAAAAATCAGTGACTATTATAAAAAAATTCAGAATTGTCTGTTCAGAAAAGCAAGCAATCAGAGCTGACATATAGAATGAGAAAACATAGGCCAACAACCTGTCAAGACATTAGCTTTTAGAATATATGAATACTTCAGATGCTGTTGTTTTAACTTCAGCATAGTGGGGCTCTGCCTAAGTCCACTGCTATTTCTGCCCACAATTACAACCCCGCAGTTACCAGCCTGCTTCTCTAGCAGCAGCCAGGTGAGAATTCTGTTCCTGCAGGCAATGGGCTCTGTCCTTGCCTCTAAAGGTAGCTGTAACTAAATCTCCATCGTTCTACGTATAAATAAGACTCAAGATTCAAAGACCCGGGTGAAAACCTGCTAGCTCAGAGAGGCTGGGTCACAATTAGCTAACCTTCTCTCCTTGCTGGCCTCTCTGAAAGACCTGTGTTTTGGCTTCACCAAACTAGAAAAAACTGTGTCACTCCAAACCCCACCCTATTACTTTCTCTCTTTCTCTATCTCTCCTAGATGCCCACTGAAGCTCTATGATTACTTTCTGTCAATTAGTTGTTAATGGAGCTCCTGACCGACCCAAGGTTAATTTTATTTAACTAACGTAAATGCAAACTCAGGGCTCACAGTGTGATTGAACACCCCCCAACAAGATGCCTATGGAACAATGATGTGAATGAATGCTTCTCCATCAGGACACACAAATAGCTTCAGGAATTCTCAACACCATCAGAGAATGCCTGGGACAACCACACAGGATATCAGCACACTGAAGCTAGAATGCTATCCAAGGAACAAAATCACAAGTGCCAGAAGGTCCTACACACTGATGATGGGCAGGTAAATTAGTCCAGTTACCATGAAACCAGTACAGAGGTCCTCAGAGTCTAGAAACACACTGGCACATGGATTGTTTGCACATGTCTTTAATGGATGTGCTATTGGAGTGCTGAAACCTGCATTTGTTGTTATTGATTTCATATTTTACTTCTTAAAATGATTTATTTTTATTTTAAAAGTTGTACGTACTTGTGTGTGTCTGTTCTGTGTGAGGATACGCACATGTGAGTACATCTGCCTGTGGAGGACAGAAAGGGGTGTTGAGTTCCTGGAAGCTGGAGCTGGAGCTACAGCTGGCTGTGAGCCACCAGATGTAGGTTCTGGGAACAAACTCAGGTTCTCTGCAAGAGGAGCAAGTGCTCTCAAGCCCTCATCCATCTCTCCAGCCCTGTTTTTCATTTTGAAATAGTCTAATGCAGCCTAGTTTGGCCTTGAACACACTATATAGATAAAGAATAACCTTGAACTTCTGATCCTCTGCCTCCACCTCCTGAGTGCTAGGATTACAGGAGGGTAATGAATAGTAGTTTATTCCTGGTTTAAAACCTTTGGTCTTGTGTTCATTACAGTACTGTTCACAAAGCAAAAAGATGTGATCAATGTAGGTGTTTATTAACACAGGAATAGTAAGTAAAATAAAATAAAATAAAAAGTATACTTAGAAATGGAACATTTTCTATTAAAATAAATGAAAATTCTTTCCTAGTGACGTGACAGAAAAGGAGGGTGGTACAGCTATAGTACATCTAGTTCCTCTGTGAACAGTCACCACCATCTTGAAGTAGAGCAGCTGTGGCCTACAGGAGACACTAGCCTACTCACAGCAACAGAATGGAGTGAACTATATAGCAGACATCTAGGTCTATGACAGAAGTTCTCAACCTGTGGGTTGTGACCCTTTGGGGGGTTGAATGAACCTTTAATAGGGATTGTCTAAAGCCATCCTGTATATCAGATATTTACATTACAATTCATAACAGTAGCAAAATTACATTTAATGAAGTAGCAATGAAAATAATTTTATGGTTGGGGGTCATTACAACATGAGGAACTGTATTAAAGGGTTGCAGCATTAGGAAGGTTGAGAACCACTGGTCTGATAATAGTAATGGGATGTTAACATCCCCTCTTAAGACAGTCATTAACACCTCACATGAAATTCCGATAATGGCTCCCTCCTGCCCAACTGTACATGCGCTTAATAAACTAACTTTGGAGTTTCGGCAAAGGGAATATATACTTCTGTCAGCTTCCTCTTATTTGGGGTGGGCCTAGTTTCTTTTATGCCTCTCCAGGAAAACCACAATACATAAGTGAAATATATCGGATAAAAAGCAAAAAACAAAACCAAAAGCTAAGAAAGAAATAAGGAAAGAAAGAGAAAATCAAAAGGACAGTGCTGCATGTTCTCATTGAATGCTTAAGTTGAACTCGAAGAAGTAAAGAACAGAGCAGTGGTTACAGCATGTGGGAAAGGAGAGGGGTCGGGGATGGTTAGTGCATCCTGGGGTACGGTGAAGGGAGGAACAATTTCTAATGCTGTATAGTCTGAGTACTACATGGCAGTTGAAAATGTATACTACCAATGAGTATGAACAGATATTATTAACTTATCAACAAAGAAGAAAGCAATTACTGCTGAGAGTTGCCTCGGAGTCAGACTCACCCAACCACACCAGGCTCTTGTAGTTCTCCAGCATCACATCTCTGTAGAGGGTCCTCTGAGCAGCATCCAGCTCCTGCCACTCCTGCCAGGTGAAGTCCACAGCCACGTCCTCAAATGACACCAACCGCTGCAATGACACACTTCTGGTCAACCCAAGTCCTTAGCCTTGAAAACACAAAATCAGAGTTCGTGTATTTGTATTTCTCTCTCTCATACACACACACACACACACACACACACACACACACACACACACACACACATACACACACCACACCACTGTCTTGTTAGTGTTTACAGAAGGTACAGCTTGATTTATATTGTTTTATGTGATAAAGAAAACTGAATACAAACATCCTACCTTGGGTCAATTCATGGATTAAAAAAAATTGGTTTCCTAGGAATCACAATACAAACAAAATCCATGGATGAAAAGTTTTATTACTTTTTTAATAGAATTAAAGTAATGGAGGCACTAGAGGGATGGCTCAGCTGTAGAGAGCGCTGGCTGCTCTTCCAGAGGACCCAGGCTCAATTCACAGCACCTGCATGGCAGCTCACAGCCATCTGTAACTCCAGTTCTGGAGGAGCTGACACCTTCTTCCGACCCCTGTGGGCACCAGGCATGTACATGGGGCACATAAATACATGTAGGTAAAACACTAACTATGCTGGATAGTTTTATGTCAGCTTGACACAAAAAGTGTCATCTGAGAGGAGGGAACCTCAAGAAAATGGATTTCTGTGAGTTCAAGGCCAGCCTGTTCTTCCAGGACAGCCAAGGTTACACAGAGAAACTCTGTCTTAAAAAAACCAAAAACACCAAAACAAAACAAAACAACAAAAACTGGGTGGTGGTGGTGGTGGTGCACGCCTTTAATCCCAGCAGAGACAGACAGATATCTGTGAGTTCAAGGCTAGCCTGGTCTATGGAGTGAGTTCCAGGTCAGACAGGGCTACACAGAGAAACCCTATCTCAACTGTCTCAAATAACCAAAAAAAAAAAAAAAAAAAATCAAGCAAGCAAGAAAAAAAATTGGGTTGCAGGCAGGCCCATAAGGCATTTTCTTAATTAGAGATCAATGGGGGAGGACCCAGACAATTGTAAGTGGTGCCATCCCTGGGCTGGTGGTCCTGGGCTATGTAAGAAAGCAGGCAGAGCAATCTATGAGGAGCAAGTCAATAAGCAGCACCCCTCCATGGCCTCCAAATCAGCTCCTGCCTCCAGATCTCAGCCCTGCTTGAGTTCCTGTCCTGAGTTCCTTCAATGATGGACAGTGATATGTAAACAAATGAACACTTTCCTCCCCAAGTTTCTTTGGTCATGGTGTTTTGTCACAGCAATAGAAACCCTAACAAGACATTCATATACATAAAATAATCTTTAAAAAAATAGCAATAGGGGTTGGGGAGATGTGCAGTGGGTAAAACATTTTCTATGCAGCTGTGTGGACCTGAGTCTGAATCACCTAGCCTGCATAAAAAGCTTGGCATGGATGTATATATCTGCAAGCCCAGCACCGGGATGGGGGAGGGAGGGATAGAAAATGATGGCTCCTGAGAGCTTGCAGGCCAGCCAGCCCAAGTGAAATAGTGAGCTTTTAGTTCAGTGAGAGACGGTCTCTCAGGAAAACAAAATGGAGAGTGACAGAGAAAGACACCTAGTGTCTATCTCTGGCTTCCACATGTGTATGCATGTTTGAACATTTATGTGCACGTACCACACACCCCCAGCTCTCTCTCTCATATGTCTGTCTCTGTCTGTCTCTTTCTCTCACACACAGACAGTAACAGTCTATATAAATGTAACTATAAAAATTAAATTAAACATGAAAAGAAGGAACAATGAAAAGGCAGATGTTGGGGCTGGTAGTACAGGACTATGGTACAGTGTATGTCCAGAAGGTACAATGTCGTACATCCTTACTCCATCCATGAACAATCTGAATGAACATGTAGATATGTTTCAAGTCTCTCTCTAGGGCATAAATGAGTTGACAGACTTCTGTGTACTAAGAATTTGTGGAAATACTCCCTATCAAATGGGTAGGGAAAGCAGAGGCACACCTGGCAACCTTTGGCAACATACCATGTCATTGAGAAATGATCCTAACAAATAATGCGAGTGGAAGATTTGGAAATCTTGCATGCATATGGTACCCTATCTCTATAGTCTTATATGGGTGGATATTAATTCATCTCACACTGGGAGGACACAGATCTAGGCAAGTATGAATCTACCTAGACCATAGAATGAACTCATGGGTTTGTATGGGTTTATAAGTACTCCTCTTGACTTCAGCCCCTGGGATCAGGGCAGAGGAGACCCAGTTTATCCCTGGAAGGGATATATCAGCACAGCCTGCTAATTGATGAGCTGATAGCTAAGCTTTTATGCAGCCTGCCCCAGAGAGTTAATCCAGAAAAGATCAGTAGGCCTCTGGCAGCTTACCTGGGAACTCTGCATATCCTGAGCCACCCCACCCATCCCCCACTGCCCACCACACTGACATCTCCCAGGTCCTCTGGTTCCTCCAATATGGAATTTGCTATGCACTGAGTGTCTCAACTTTAACACATTGTATTTGAGGGAATATATGCCAAATCTTCAAGATCTGGGAGCAAAGGCATCTGGACATGTGCAAATAACGCTGGATCCCAGGAAAACAAATGTCCTAAGTGGCATACAGTACTTCTATAGCCTCAAATCTCTAGCATGAATACAGGGATTGATGGGAAGGTACAGATCTCCATTTATTCCCAGAGGAACATTTAAGTACTTTCCAGTGCCTACTTCACAGCCTGGCTCTAATAAATTTCCATTGTGAAGTACACACATCCCTGAAGACATGGTGGAATGCCTGCAGCCTGAGCAGTGGTCAGTGCTATGATTAAAACACTGTCAGACAAAAATAGCCTTTGAGAGGACACTGATGCACCAAGGAGGAAACCCTAGTGCTCTGCTGGAATTTCACATCAATGCAGTGGGGCTGGAGAGATGGTTCAGCAGGTGAGAACAATGGCTGCTCTTTCAGAGGACCTGTGTTTGGTTCCCAGCACCCACATGGTGGCTCACAATCATCTGCAGGGGATATAGCACTTCTAAGGACAGATTGTCATTGTCATGTTTGGAGACAGAACATAACTGGAAGAGGTCACTCTAAGGAAAAGGCACTATGTCCATCTAAGATCCAGAGAGGTCTGGCATCTTGAGGCTTAGTCACAGATAAAGATCACCCTATAAGGAGTTTTAGACTTTTAATGACCTACCCTCCTTGTCCTTAGATCTCTATTAGAATACTCCATCAATACCACTGAAATCTCCAACTGGCTACATACTTAACCAGCAAAAACAACTTGACCTGGATAAGCTAAAGAGAAAGCACCTTTATTTATTTATTTTCCTACAATATGGTCTGGTTATAATATAGATTAGAGAAATTACAGCAGTGGCTGTTTCGTGGCAGCCTTAAACACATTGTAGTACAATTAGGCTTACTTTATGAGAGAAGTCAGATGGTCAGAGATGTCTTACATACAGGCAGGCCTTCATGGTCTCTTACTAAGGACCTTTGGTTTACAAAGGAGCCAAAGGAGCCTGGAAGGGACTCCACTACAGACCCTGATATTGTGACTAATCCACTCCTGAGAGGTCCATGTGTATCAGGGATAGTTACAGCCTCCTCCCCTTACCCTCCCTCCTCTTACGCTCTACCAACACAAAGGCAAAGAATGTCAATCACACAGCATCTGAGGGCCATAACAGAGATTCTCTGCTTTGTGATAACTTGCCTACAGGATGTTTCTACCATGTATTTTAAAGCATCTTTTTATATAGAAAAAGCTACATAAAACTGTTACTACACAGGGATGTGGAGTTTGGGGTAACCTAAACATGTGTTCACAGGACATGCATGCATACCTCAGAGGATGGCACCAAGCCACGAGTGAATAAAACCAGAACAGTAAGTTCTTATCTGCAGGTATTTTAAGGTAGAGCTTTCTGTGGGAGAATCTAGCCTACCACTGGACATTTGCATTTAACTTTGCACATAAGGTCATATCAGCTCATGACTTATATATGTATAATATCAGAAACAAATAAAATAAAATTTAAGGCAGACATATAACTTTATTGATTTATGTATTTTTTTAAAAAGATGTTTCCCCTCAGCACTTAGGGGTTAGATGAAGGTGGATCTCTGAGTTGAGGCTCACCTGGTCTGCATGATAGCAATGTTCCAGGATTACACAGAGAGACCCCATCTCAAAACAACAGAAACATTAAAAAAATTTATATTACGTGTTTGTCTGTATTTATGTGTGCCACATACAAGCCTGTTGCTAGAATTACAGATGATCGTGAGCCACCATGTGGGTGCTGGGAACTAAATCCAGGTCCTTTTCAAGAGCAGCAAGTGTTCTTAAACTGAGCTATTTCTCCAGCCCACTTTATAAAAGTTTTAAAGGTAGGCTGTTGGAACATAGTTCAGGAATGGAGTTATGTGAAGAGAATTCTGAGTGCTTGTGAGAACACTCCAAGAAAACAGAACAAGAGTCTTGTGACTTAAGTTTCTTCAAAACATGGGATTGTTCAGGGGATGTGTTTTCATGCCTTCCCGGGAGCGGCAGAGAGGAGTGGGCTTGCTTCAGAGTACCCATTGCCACTTGTTATTGTTATTCAGAATGTTTACAGCTTGAATCATGTGCTCTTTACTCATATGACCTTTTTTTCTGTTGATTTTTTGTTTGTTTATTTATTTATTCATTTTACATACCAACCACAGATCCCCCTCTCATCCCTCCTCCTGCTCCCCCCTCACCTTCCCCACCTACCCCTTATCCCTTTCGCCAACAGGGTAAGTTCTCCCATGGCGGGGGACAGCTAAGCCTGGTATGTTCAGATGAGGCAGGGCCAAGCCCCTCCCTGCTTTATCAGGGGTGAGAAAGGTGTCCAGTCATAGGTAATGGGATCTAGAAAGCCGGCTCATGCACCGGGGTAGATCATGATCACACTGCCAGGAGCCCCTCAAACAGACCCAGCTACACAACTGTCTGCCATATGCACAGGGTCTAGTCCAGCATATGACCTTTCTTAATTCTCAAAGTATATATTGTCTGATATTCTATATAAAGTTGGCTATTGCATGAGATTTCAGGCTGCCTCATTCATCGGATCCATTCTCCCGGGTCCCACCACCTCTGGAGTGATGACAGTGGGCCATGGAGATGGTTCAGTGAGTAAAGGCACCTGCCACTAAGTCTCACTACTGTAGTTCCAACCCCAGAACCCACAAAATGAAGGGTGAGAATTGACTCCCAAAAGTTATCTGACTTCCACATGTGTACTGCTGGATGTTTGCGTGTGCTTATGCACAACCACTGTGGTGGTTTGAATAAGTATGGCCCCCATAGGCTTGTATTTGAATTCTTCATCATCAGGGAGTGACACTACTTGAGAAGGATTAGGAGCTGTGGCCTTGTTGGAATAGGTGTGGCCTTGTTGGAGGAAGTGTGCCACTAGGGGTGGGCACTGAGGTTTCAAAAGCCCAAGCCAGGCCCAGTGGCTCACTCTTCCTGCTGCCTGTGGGTCTGGTAGAACTCTCAGCTATTCTCCAGCACCATGCCTGCCTGCATGCTGCCATGCTTCCCAACATGGGATGATAATGGACTAAATCTCTGAAACTGTAAGCAAGCCCTAATTAAATATTTGCTTTTATGAGTTGCCTTGGTCATGGTGTCTCTTCACATCAATAAAACAGTGACTCAAACAACCACTAAGTCAGCAAATAAAAAAAATTAAAGTGACTTTAATTAAAAATGTTGATGTACATTTATTGTGCATGGTGATAGGTTTCACAGATATCTTAATGCAAGCATATCATATAATTTGATCATATGCACCCTGCCATCTCATTTCTCTCTCTTCCATTCTTCTGCTTTGTTTCTCCAGTCTTGCTGCTACTCTCACATCATATAAGTACATATAGGATTCTAAATTTAGGATCCATAGTGAGAAAATGTAGTATTTGTCTGAGTCTAACTTATTTCACTTTTGATGATATACAGTTCCACCCATTTCCCTGAAAGAAATGGCTTAATTTTGCCCTTTGTATTTGAAAAATGCACATTCTTTTTCATCCAGTCACCTGTTTGAAATCTAGGCTAATTCTGTAAGTTGTCTAGGTTGAGTAACACTGCACTAAACAGACACATAAGTATCTTTGGACATATATCCAGTGGTGGTATGTTTGGGTGACAGGACTAAATTTAAAGTATTTTGAAGACTCTCCACACTGATTTCCACTGGCTGGACGAATTTGCATTCTTACAAATAGTGTATAATGTCCCCGCCCTGCACTTTCATCTTCACCAACATTTATCTGTTTTCTCAATGGCAGTCTAACTGGGGTGAGATGGAGTCTCACAGCACTTCCCCAATGGCTTAAGGATGTTCAATATTCTTTATATATTTACTGACCATTTGTATTTCTTCTCTTGAGATTTTTTTTTTGAGACAGGGTCTCTTTTCATAACTCTGGCTGTCCTAGAACTCATTATATAGACCAGACTGGCCTCAAACTCACAGGGATCCATCTGCTTCTGCCAGGCTGGCCTCAAACTCACAGGGATCCATCTGTTTCTGCCTCCCAAGTGCTGGGATTAAAGACCCGGACACTGAGAACTGTCTATTTCATTTGCCCATTTATTAATTGTTTAGCTATTGGGTATCTGGCTGTTCTTTTTGTTGTAGTTGCTGTTTTTCTGGGTCTGATTCAGGCATGTTGGCTTTGTACTTACTATGTAGCAGAGGAGGACTTTGAACTGTGTGTGTGTGTGTGTGTGTGTGTGTGTGTGTGTGTGTGTGTTTAGGGCAGGGATGCACGCATGTGCCAGGGTCCATGTATGGAGGTCAGAGAACAACTCTGTGGAATTGATTCTTCCTTCTACCTTTATGTGGAGTCTGAAGGTTAAACTCAGGTCATCAGTCTTTTGTGCAAATGCCTTTACTGTTGGGCCACCTCACTGGCTCTGTGTTCTTTATATGTTCTAGACATTAGTCCTGTCAGATGTAGAGCTAAAAAAGGCTTATTTCATTTGTAGGCTGTATCTTACCCCACAACTGTTTCTTTTGTTGTGCAGTTCTTATTTAATCCAATCCTTTGGACAATTCTTAAGTTTTTATTTTCTGAGCAACCAGAGACATTTTCAGAATGTCTGTAACTATATCTTCAAGTGTTTTCTCATTTCATGTTTTACATTAAGGTATTTGATTCATTCTTAACTGGTTCTTTTTGGGGGGTACAGGGTGATATTATAGACCTAGTTTCATTCTGCTATATACATGTGGGTAGTTTGCCTGTACCATCTGTTAAAGAGGGTTGTATTTGCTCCAGTGTATTTTTAAAAAAGTCTTTATCAAAGGTTAGATGCCTGTAGCCATGTGGGTTTATTTCTGGGTCCTCTCTATTCTATCCCATTGATCTACATGTCTGTTTTAAGTTAGCACCTTGCTGCACAGTTTTTCACATCTCTCTCTGTTCCACTTGTTGACCATTCTCACTGTATATCTGGATAATAGCAGTGAGCAGTAACCATGGCACAACCTGAATATTATACCGTGTTGAAACTTACCCCACAAAACAAATTAATCCACCATTTAAAAATTTTAAATTACATTTATTTATGCAGTTATATGTAAGGAGGGAGGGTGCGAATGTGCCATGTAAGAGAAGTGGTGGGAGCTGGTCCCTTCTTCCACCATGTGAGTCCCAGGGATCAAATTCAGGTCATCAGACTTTGTAGCATGCATCTTTACCTGCTGAGCCATCTTACTAGACTGGCCAATTACACTTGAATCAAGATTCATGCAAGTTCTCATCACATGAAAAGAATGAGGCTAGATACTTAGAATGTAACATGAATGACCTCCAGCCCAGTTCCTGGCAAAATCCTTATTCCCCTCTGAAACCTCATGAGCCAGGTCTCCACAGTCCACATTTCTCTCAGCAAATGCTCCACTAAGCTCTGCTTACGGGATTCTAAAACTTTCCTAGTCTGTAAGCCTTCTTCAACGTCTCTATCACAACCAGTTCAGAGGATGTAAGAGCCATATACTCAGATTTCTGGAAACAGTGTTCCCACTCCTGTTACCAATTTTCTGCATTGGTTACTTTTTTCATTACTATGATAAAATACCTGGAAAATCAACTTAAGGAAGTTTCTTTTGCCTCACAGTTTGAGTGTATAGACCATATTACAGGGAAAACAGGAGTATGAGGCAGCTGGTCACAATATATCCAAGTCAGGAAGTCCAGTGAAATAGATACCGGTGTGCTAACTTTCCCCTTTTTTATTCAGTCTGGGACCTCAGCCTATAAAATAGTGCTGCTCACCTTCAGGGTGGATCTTCCAATCTTAGTTAAACCTCTCTCTCTCTCTCAGTTAAAGACCCTCCTACACATACCCAGAAGTTTGTCTTCTACATCCCATCAAGTTAGCAAGCAAGACTAACCATTACAATCACAAACAGATCTCTAATGGTTTAACAGAATCTACAGTTGGAAATAATTTTTTAGCTTGAATTTAATTAATGTAGATGAGGTTGTAACATTTGTTTTTGCATAATCCATTCCTTATGACTCCATATTAAAATTCACCAGTGGTCTAGCTTGCATAAGGATACAAAGAAGAAAAGAAAGGTGTTAGGTTTTGTAGCTATTGTACTGGTGGATGCAATAAGGCTACAATGTCATGCTTGGAACATATTTTTATGATACTTTACCCTGCCAATCAAGAGTACTGTCATGTGTTAACAGCATTTTAGTCAACAACCCACACAATATTATGGTAGCTCTTATAATGCTAACACAAAAAGTTCCTATCATTCAGTGATGTCATGACAAATACGCAATAGTACAAAGTGTGGAATTCTCTGTACCACACTTGAATCCTCATGTTCAGAAGGAGATGTAGGAAGACACTGGGGTCAACTTCAGGTTCTGTTTACATGGAATTGTGGCTGGCAGGAACTACTTACAATCCACAAAAGGAAGGTGAATCTGCCTGTAGACTGACCTTCTTCCCTGCATTCTACAGGAATGGGAATAATTGAGCTGTCCAATCAGGTGCTTTGCTGAAAGAAAAGGGGTGGGGTAAAAGGGGCTACTGAGTTAAAGTACATGAATATGTGTGAATTGTGGTATAGTTTGTGATAGACACATGCTATGAGGCTTACAAACTTCAATGGCTATGCAATATCATCTTCTGTACTATAACTTATATGGCAATCATAGGGAGGATATCAGGGCAACCGAAGGCAGGACATGGTGAATTTGGGCCAGGAAGTCCAGAAGTGTAGATGCATAAGCTATTGAAACCCACATAACTAGCACTTACCACCCTGGGTCTCCACTTGTCTAGAGCCCAATTTCACAGCTGTCCACTCATCCACTGGCTCCTGTCTATTTGTGGTATGGTTCTGGGACCTAGGCTCTTATCTGAATGGTGTCTTGGGACCTGGGGCCCTCTTCAGATGAATGTCCACATGCCCACAGCTTCCCAAACTCTGGAGAGATAAAGGGAGCAGGAACAATGAGGTAATGTGTGGGCTTTGTGCACAGGAGTGTCCATAAAATAGTTCTCATTCAAAGGGAATAAAATGCACTTTATTCCAAGTCAAATATTAGTGGCTGTGGCCTAGCAACATGGATTTAGGTGGAAGTGGTTACATGAACTTTTTTTTTTTTTGGTTTTTCGAGACAGAATTTCTCTGTGGAGCTTTGTGCCTTTCCTGGAACTCGCTTTGTAGACCAGACTAGCCTCGAACTCACAGAGATCCGCCTGCCTCTGCCTCCCAAGTGCTGGGATTAAAGGTGTGTGCTACCACTGCCCGGCTACATGAACCTTTATAGTCACAAAACAAAGTCATAAATCAAGGCATTACTCAATAGAGTGGTATAATAGAGTGGTTGTAAGTGGATGTATTAGTTACTTGTCTGCTGCTATGATAAAATACCATGACCAAAAGCAATGTAAGGAAGAGTTTATTTTGGCTTATGGTTTAAGAGAAGTAAGAGTCCATCATGACAGGGAAGGCATGGCATGGTGGCAGGAGCAAGAAAGTGGTTGATCACATTTTTATCCATGCACAGGAAGCAGAGAGGGAGAGTAGGAAGTGGGGTAAGGCTTTAAGTCCTCAAGGCCTGCCCAGTGACGTACTTCCTCTAGCAATGCTGTACCTCCTAGAGGTTCCATAACATCCCCAAACAGTACCACCAACTGTGGAACAAATGTTCAAATACATGAGCCTGTGGGGGGCATTCCTCATGTAAATCAACACAATGGGTTTAAGCAAAGTGGGCAAACTTCTGGCATCAGCTGCGAATGCTATCTGTAGTTAGCTTTGGGGTGGTGGGAGCCAGTGGTCTGCTAAATTAACACATTCTGAACATTTTACTTGTTACAAAAGGTATCCATTTTTGACACAGGAGGTAGTAATTACATGTCCCTTATATGATACTTCACTGAGCTATATAATTTTGATGTTTGTCACATTTTTCTTTTGTGCAAGGAAATGTTTATTACACAAAATATGATGGGGAAAACATAAAGGAAGGATTGTAAGGACACTATAAAACACAATGGGATCATGGGTATGTTAATTCTGCTGGCTGTGGTATAGGTGCTATGAATGTAAGCATGTTAGTAAACAATATATATATGCAATTCATGTCAATTATAAGCCAATAAACTTCAAGAAGATATGTCAAATCCTGGTGTTAAAAATAGTATTCATTAGACAAAATCAATATTAAGTAAAACAACAAAGAGACTAAGAATTCATTACCTAATCTATGATCTCAATAACTGAGAAAATAAATATTTTGTTTAAAAAAAAAAAAGATGAAGCTGACAAAAATGACTTAACTGGTAGAGACAAAAGGCTTGACACCACGGCTGATGACCTCAGTTCGATTCCCAAGACCTACATAATGGAAGGAGAGAACTGACTCCTGAATGCTGTCCTCTGGTCTCTATATAGTCTCTGTTTCAGACTCACTCACTCACTCATACACACAAAATAAGTAAGTAAATGCAATTTTCAAAAAAGGTTGCAGGGAGACTAAAAAAAAAATTCCAAAATAAAGAAAAAAAAAAGAAGAGGTATTGAAAAGGAGCATATCACAAAGAATATCAGCAATTCCAGGTAACTTCAATAAGGAAAAATTACATGTTCATTTGTGTTATATATTTGAACTCATATCTCACATCATAGTAGAGACACCCTATGAGATGTGTTCTTAGTGATTCTGACATTCTGAAAACATTACCAAGTAAACTTATACAAACCTTGGTTACATGTTACAGCTGTTATCATGTATGAATCTACTGTGAACATAATATCTTGATGTATCACATGTCTATGTATTATAAAGCTATATAGCATGAACTTGGCAATGAGAAGAATAAATACAACTGTGGAAATGAAGACAGAGTCCTTAAAAAAAAAATCCTTGCCTTTCAGATTCATAGATGACAGAGACTGAACTGCACAACAATAGGAAAATACGCTCTTTCCAATGAAAACTACAGGAACACTGGGGCAACTGTATGGCTACAGATGTTTGCATACCCTTTCCTCATACCACGCAAGAAATCATTTATAACTATTTAGTTTATAAATCTAAAAGCATACTAAGACATTCAGAAGGTGTTATGGGAGATAGAGTGATTGCTCTTCAAATATACACAAAGCTATATTTAAAAATTCATAATTTAAACTACACTGAAATAATTGTATTCATCAAATAAAACAAAGGGTTAAAAATGAAGTGGCACAGTGGGAGAAACCCAATTGCCTCACACACATCTAATCACTTATTAATAAGGAAGGCAAAGATAGAGACCTAGGAAGAAAAGTAGGCAAGGGATTTGAAAAGCTGTTTTATATAAGAAGTATGTACATGTTCAATAATCATAAAAATGCAGAGCACATTTAGAAATGAGAAAAAACATAAAACAAAATAACAAGATAGACGAGTAGTATTGATGAACACAAGGAACAACTGTACATAAACTCACAATGAAGTGTAAGTTGTTATTCCTTTGGAGAAAGCAGCTATGAAAGAGACAAAATATTTTCTGTTGCAGGTATAAATGTGTGCCATGATAACACCGGAGACACAGAAATAATAACACAAAAGCTGAAATCCTGGGAGGTGGAGACAAGAGGAGACACAATCAGGAAGTGACAAATAATTACGTGGCCTAGGTGACAATCACACTCAAGGTCTTCTACGAGTAGTTAACAAGGAAGCACAGACTAAGTTCTGCATAGATATTATATGCCTGTCATATTTCGCTTAGACATAAAATTCATAAAGGAAATAGGCAGAACTTATGAGAAAATAAAAATTCAGAGAGGCACATATAAATGACCAAGTTACATATACTGTTTGTGTTGAAAAATTTATAAACATAACCTTTTCTCCTAAATTAATTAATAATATTATCCTATCAGAATTTCAACATGGTTATTTTTAATAGAAGTAAAAGAATCACAAAACCCTGGAACTTTTCTGGAAGGTTCAATATATGCATATAAAAATATATATGTTTGTGTATATGTGTGTATCCACAGTATATATGAAATTAACCTAGAATAAGAACAGTAATTATGGGCTATTATTTTTTTTGTATTTTTTTATTTCATCTCTGTATTCTTTTTTATCCTTTATTTTATTTTGCATACCAATTACAGTTTCCCCTCCCTCCTCTCTTCATGTTCCCTCCCCCAACCTCCCTTCTACCTCCATTCAGATGGGGTGAGGTCTCCCTTGGGAATCCACAAAGCGTGGCACATCAAGTTGCAGCAGGACCAAGCTCTTCCTCCCTGCATCAAGGCTGAACAAGGCATCCCACCATAGGGAATAGGTTCCAAAGAGCCAGCTTATGATCAGGGACAGGGCCCCACAAAAGACCAAGCTACACAACTGTCACCCAGATGCAGGGGGCCTAGATTGGTCAATTATGGGCTATTATTACATAATACTAACACACATTATGTAACTCAAATACTATAACAAACTCCAAGGCATCCCAATATAAGTAAGAACCACTGATAGGTTTATATGGATATGAGGTCTGTATTAAGAGCAACATAAAAATCACATATCAATCCAGCCATATTAAAAAAAAAACACTATTAGCTAGTAGGAAAAAAATAACAAAAGAGTAAAACCTCTGGCATCCAGAATGGGTGCTCAGCACTTTCTAAGCTCCCCACCCTCACCCCAGCTCACCCCATCTACAAGGTCCACCTCCTGGGATGAGTTTTAATACATACCAAGTGTCTTGGTTTTAACGTATTCGGTTTCAAGGAATTAATTCTAAGTCTCAGAACTCTCGAAGCAGAGGGGACTGGGCCTGTGCAAATGGCCATGAATCACAGGAAAAACTGACCTTTTAAGATGGACACACAAGCACATCGTTGGCCCTCAACTCTCACCATTAATGAAGAGTTAAAAGTCACAGACCCCTGTCACCCCAGAAGAGGTTGTGAACGTTCTTCCAGTGGTGACTCCCCGAATCCCAACAGGGACTGGCTACTCCAAACAGCAGACCTCCTGTAGCTTCGGTATAGAGCAAATAGTATCAAAACCATGCCAGACAACAAGTGTTCGAAAAGACATGGACATGGCAAAAGAGGAATCCTAGTACACTGCTAAAGAGAATATAAATTATTCTGTGTTCCATTTCAAAGAACTAAGCAGAACTACGATATAATCCAAACATACAATATTGGTTATGTATTCAAAGGAATAACACATTGCCAAAGAAATGGCATCATTCCCACGATTGCTGTAGCATTAGTCACACTCACAGACCAGACACGGAAACAACTGAAGTTCCTTTTAGATGACAGTATACCAGGGTATTCCTTCCAGTAGCAGGGCATCCAGGTGCTCCCCTGAGAGGCTGCACCCCCACACCTCAGAAAGCCTCCTAGAGGAGGAGAGGACCCAGTACCCTAGAATAAGAGCAGTAAGATTGGCTATCATTACATGACACTAACATGCAGCTTATAACTCGATTACTGTGATTAACAAAGTCCAAGGGTCCTATAAACATAAATATCATCCATCGAAGGATATACATGGATGAAAGGATTGGACTGTTAAGAGCAATAGAAAGACATATCAACATAACCATATGTAAAATAGCATTACTATTAATAGAAAACACACACACACACACACACACACACACACACACACACAACCAGCAGCAAATAAAACAGTGGACCTCTTGGCAGCCTGATGGGACCTTGGCACTTCCTACACCCTCTCCCACAGCTCGCCCCACATTTCAGGTCTACTCAGTGTTGACTTGACAATCACAAGAACTTGGTGTCGGGCAGTTCTGAAACCTACCAACTGGAAAAGACATGAGGGGGGATGAGGACTCTGACAGTTCCCAAATGGGAGGGAACACAAAGGCATTCTCATAAGCTGTCCTGGCCTAGAGGGGTTTTAAAAAAAAAAAGACAAAAGGTACAGTCTTTGTGTAACAAGGACTCAAGTGATTCTTCTCCTGAAATGTTCACAAACATCCTTGGGACTAGAGAGACAGCTCAGCAGTTAAGAGCAGCTGCTGTTCTTCCAGAGGACCTGGGGCTTGGTTCCCAGCATCCACATTAGGCAGTTCACAACCGGCTGTAACTCCAGATCAGGGATTCACACGCCCTCTTCTGGCACTGCCCTCATTTGGTGCACACACACACACACACACACAACACACACACACATACATACACTTTAATTTAAAAAATGTTAATAATCCATTTTTTTGGTACCTGGAAAACAAAACATTTTTTTTTTTTAAAAAAACTGTGTTTTAGATATATCATTAGGAAAATATACTATGAGGAACAAATGGGAGGCTTTCAGGGCAGCCCTCTGGGGGAGCACCTGTGGGAAGCTCAGGGGCGCACAAACAGTGGAAGGGGAAGTTAGAGTGTTTAGGAGTGTGGGCGGGGATGTGGAATTTTAAGAAGATAGAATCAGACTTCAGGGAGCTGGCCTAGGTTCTGGCTTTGAGATCCTGCTTCCCGCACACCTGTAAAGTCCAGGGACTAGGTGGGCCATGGAGAGGATGAAGGGGATTCTAGGGAACATACACAGCTCCTTTCGTGAACGAACGTCACATTGAGAGATCCCCTGATGATCCACCAAGTCCTCGCCACACATGATCCGGAGCAAACGGGCAGCCAGCACAGAGCTAGGACGGCTGCAGTCGCTGACTCAGGAGCGACAGGACGCCCCGGGCTCGGGCAGCCCCACCGCCCAGGCAGGGGACCCAGCGCGAGGCCTCACCGCAGACCCCGCTCGGCCACAGCGCCTCCCGCTCGCGCACCGCCACCTCCGGGCGCCACACGCACACTCACCATGTCCATTTCTTGGGGACGCCGGCGGCGTCTTCCTACCATTGCCCTGCATCCACCGCGTCCCGGCGCTACCAAGACTGCGCAGGAGCTTCCCGGGCAGCAGACACCGAGCCCAAAATGGAGGGTCCCAGACAAAGGCCGGGTGACCCGCAGAGCCCGCCCCCGCCCTCCGTCTGTGTGTCTGATTGGACACGCCTCAGCCCACGGCTTCTGATTGGACAGGGCTTCAGGTCCTGCCCGCTGAGTGACAGTAGTTGGCGCCCACGCACAGCTGCTGGAGCCCAGGATGACAGGTTCTCAGATGCAGCTGTTGGGGACTCTGGCTCCCGTCAGGTCTCAGAGGTTGGACTTCAGTCATCTCTGTGGGAGGCTTGCTCCTTGGTCCCCTCCGGCTATGGGGTAGGGACTTGGCCTGCTGCCATGAGTCCTGTTGCAAATTTAGCAGATTTCAGCCTCTGCTAAGTTCCCTCAAGTCCTTACACTGTGCTTTTAGCCTGCTAGAGTCCTCTCTGGGCCACAGGTCACACTTGCATTTAATTTTATATATAAAGTCATATAAGATTATGAGTTAAATACGTGTATGTGTGTATTAGTCACAAACGGTAAGAAGGTATCAGTTTTCAAAACCCTTCTAAAGTTTCCAAACTGTTCTTTAACTTGGCCTTCAAAATGGGAAGAGATGTCTAATGTAAAGTTTTTTTGTATTCATATTAAAAATGGAAAAGAAACAGGCAAAGTCAATGTTGTTAGGCACATGCCTGTATGTACTTTTAGAACCTGCAAGGTATAGGCAGGGAAATTGCAATCTCAAGTCCAGCTTGGTTACAAGATGAGTTTCATGCCATCTTGGAATGCATATGTAGACCCTGTCCTAAAATAAATAAATACAAGATGTGAAATTGATGGTAACGACCCAAGGCACCTAAAATATCTCTATAATCTGATCAGTGTAACACTGGTGACTTTTTTTTTTTTTTTTTTTTTTTTTTTTTTTGGTTTTTTGAGACAGGGTTTCTCTGTGCAGCTTTGCGCCTTTCCTGGATCTTGCTCTGTAGACCACGCTGGCCTCGAACTCACAAAGATCTGCCTGCCTCTGCCTCCTGAGTGCTGGGATTAAAGTCGTGCGCCACCACCGCCCGGCTAAAACTGGTGACTTTTATGTACTATTGCGACAAAAACAAACAAACAAACAAACAAACAAACAAACTTCACAAATCAACAAATGTTTTAAGCCTCCAGCTTGTCTCAGTTTAGAAGAGCCACAACATCCTTTTGAGAGCTGTGACTTTCTCAGGAAGTAGGGCCTGTTATCCCAGAGGGGAGGGAATTCCTATCGGTATTTCTCCTAAAATCCAAGGAAGGGAACTGTAGCAGCCTAAAAGGGAACAGAGAACTTCAAGCAGAAGTGCCCAGAGGTAAACCACTGCTTCCCAACAGCTGGTGAGGACAGGTCTATTCTTCCAGAGAGTGGACAGAAGCAGGCAGAGAGAGACTGTAGGGTCACAAGAGGAGGAAATGCTGTCTCTTCACATCTGTCTACAGCCTTGGTCTGCAGAGTTCAACAAAAAGATTACCTTTTAATTTTGCTCTTTGGCCTTGTCACTGTTGTGTGATATGTTGATTGCAATGATAATTTGATTGCAACAATAAAGCTTGCTTTTGAGTTAGAGGGCAGAGCTAGCCACTAGCTAACCAAAATTAACCATAGAGGTTTTGGAGGACTAGAGGACTGAGGACAGGTAAGAGACAGAAAGCAGTAACGTGGGGCTGAGAGAGGATCTCAGCCCTTTTGGGTGGAGGAACGGAAGAGATCAGAGGTCACTGGTGGCTTTTCTGCTGCTTCTCTGATCATTCAGATTTTAACCCTGATATCTGACGTCTTTTTTTTTTTTTTTTTTCCAAGATAGGGTTTCTTTGTAGTTTTGGTGCAGGTCCTGGCTCTTGCTCTGTAAACCAGGCTGGCCTCGAACTCACAGAGATCCGCTTAGCTCTGCCTCTGGAGTGCTGGGATTAAGGCATGCATCACCACCGCCTGGTTTGACTTCCAGTTTTTTGTTGATAAAGAATAATTAGATAAACATACCAGGTTCTTAATGGTCAGCCTGTGGGTGTGGCTTTCTCCTGTGATGTGGGATATTGTGTGATTTTTTTTATTTTATAATTAATTTAATTTTACATATCAGCCACGGATTCCCCTGTCCTCCCTCCTCCCACCTCTCAGCCTTCCCCCCCAATCCTCCTCCCATTCCCACTTCCTCCAGGGAAGGTCTACCTTGGGGATTCAGCTTGGCTTCGTAGATTCAGTTGAGGCAGGTCCAGTCCTGTCCTTCCCACACCAGGCTGAGCAAAATGTCTCAGCATAGGCTCTAGATTCCAAAAAACCAGCTCATGCACTAAGGACAGGTCCTGGTATGGTGATATTTTATTTGTATTAAAATGTTATTTGTATGTTAATAAATAAAGTTGCCCGGGGTTAGAGCTATTAGCAAGCCATAGGAAAGCAGGGCAGTGGTGGCATACGCTTGTAATCCCAGCACTTGGTAGGCAGAGCTAGGTAAGTCTCTGTGTGTTCAGGGATACAGCCAGTATTGGATACACATGCCTTTAATTTCAATACCAATCATAGAAAACCTGGAGGTCTATACAGACAGGCCGTCATGAGGCGGTCATGTGGTTGGGTTTACAACCAATGAGAAGGCAGAACAGAAACTACATATAAAGACTTTAACACAGAAAGTAGCTCTGGTTCGGAGAGATAGGACCACCGCAGGAGGAAGGGTAAGGTTTTAGCTCTTAGCTCTGACCTCTTGGTTTTCTTCTTTGCATTGGTTCTGTGTTTCTTATTTAATAAGAAGGTTGGTTACATCTACATCCTGGTTTCACTGCCTGGGGGCCTCCTAAAGAGTTCAAGCTAATCAACTGTCTCACTTATCCAGAGGGCCTGATCCAGTTCCATGGGGGCTCTTCAGCTATTAGTTCGTAGTCATGTGTTTCCACTAGTTTGGCTATTTGTCCCTGTGCTTTTTCCAATCATGGTCTCAATATCTCTTACTTATATAATCCTCTCTCTCTCTCTCTCTCTCTCTCTCTGTCTCTCTCTCTCTCTCTCTCTCTGTCTCTCTCTGTCTCTCTCTGTCTCTCTCTCTCTCTCTCTCTCTCTCTCTCTCTCTCTCTCTCTCTCTCTCTCGCCCATTGGACTCCTGGAGCTCCACCTGGGGCTTGGCCGTGGATCACTGCATTTGCTTCCATCAGTCACTGGATGAGAGTTTCTATCATGACAGTTAGGGTGTTCGGCCATCAGATCACCAAAGTAGGTCAGCTTGGGCTTTTTCTTGACCATTGTCAGTTGTCTGTTGTGGAGGTATCTTTGTGAATTTCTGGGGACCTCTGTAGCACTTTGCTTCTTCCTGTTCCCATGGGGTCTTCATTTATCATGGTATCTCTTTCCTTGTTCTCCTACTCTGTTCCTGATCAAGCTGGTAACTCCCACTCCCCTAAGCTCTCTTTCCCCCAACCCTTGCCCTCCATTAACCGCCCCCCGCCCAGGTCAGGTTGCTCATGTAGATCTCTTCCATTTCTCTGTTGTTGGGTGATCCCTGTGTCTTTCTTAGGGTCCTCTGTAGCTTGAGTTTTCCTGCCTGGCCCACAGTCAGGACAAATCTCTCTCACCTGCCAGTCCCACAGCTGTCAGACCCAACCAAGTAAACACAGAGACTTATATTGCTTACAAACTGTATGGCCGTGGCAGGCTTCTTGCTAACTGTTCTTACAGCTTAAATTAATCCATTTCCATTAATCTATACCTTGCCACATGGCTTGTGGCTTACCGGCATCTTCACATGCTGTTTCTCATCATGGCGGCTGGCAGTGTCTCTCTGACTCAGCCTTCCACTTCCCAGCTTTATTCTCCTCCTTGTCCCGCCTACACTTCCTGCCTAGCCAATGACCAATCAGTGTTTTATTTATTGACTAATCAGCAACACATTTGCCATACAGAACATCCCACAGCAGTCTTCTTTACTAGGTAGCCTCTGGGGAGTTGTGAGTAGCAGTCTAGTCATCCTTTGCTTTACATCTAGTATCCACTTATGAGTGAGTACATACCAAGTTTGTCTTTCTGAGTCTGGGTTACCTCACTCAGGATGATTTTTCTAGATCCATCCATTTGCCTGCAAACCTCATGATGTCATTGTTTTTCTCTGCTGAGTAGTACTCCATTGTGTGTATGTACCACATTTTATTTATCCATTCTTCAGTTGAAGGACATCTAGGTTGTTTCCAGGTTCTGGCTATTACAAATAATGCTGCTATGAACATAGATGAGCATGTGTCCTTGTGGTATGATTGAGCATTCCTTGAGTATATGCCCAAGAGTGGTATAGCTGGGTCTTGAGGGAGATTGATTCCCAATTTTCTAAGAAAGCACCATATTGATTTCCAAAGTGGTTGTACAAGCTTGCATTCCCACCAACAATGTAGGAGAGTTCCCCTTGCTCCACATTCTCTCCAGCATATGCTGCCTTTGATGATTTTGGTCTTAGCCATTCTGACAGGTGTAAGATGGTATCTCAAAGTCGTTTTGATTTGCATTTCCCTGATGATTAAGGATGTTGAACAATTCCTTAAATGTCTTTCAGCCATTTGACCTACTTCTGTTGAGAATTATCTGTTTAGCTCTAGAGCCCATTTTTTAATTGGACTGTTGGTTATTTTGATGTCTAATTTCTTGAGTTCTTTATATATTCTGGATATCAGTCCTCTGTCAAATGTGAGGTTGGTGAAGACCTTTTCCCATTCTGTAGGCTGTCGCTTTGTCTTGTTGACCGTGTCCTTTGCCCTGCAAAAGCTTCTCAGTTTGAAGAGGTCCCATTGATTAATTGTTTCTCTCAGTGTCTGTGCTACTGGTGTTATATTTAGGAAGTGATCTCCGGTGCCAGTGCATTCAAGACTACTTCCTACTTTCTCTTCTATCAGGTTCAGAATAACTGGATTTATGTTGAGGTCTTTGATCCACTTGGACTTAAGTTTTGTGCATGGTGACAGATATGAATCTGTTTGCAGTCTCCTACATGCTGACATCCAGTTACACCAGCACCATTTGTTGAAGATGCTTT